GTGCGTGTGTGCGTGTGTGCGTGTGTGCGTGCGTGCGTGCGTGCGTGGTGCGCGTGCGTGTGTGTGTGCGTGTGCGTGTGCGTGTGCGTGTGCGCGTGCGCGTGTGCGCGTGTGCGCGTGTGCGCGTGTGCTTGTGTGCGTGTGTGCGTGTGGGTGTGTGCGCGTGCGCGTGTGCGTGTGCGTGTGCGCGTGTGCATATGCGCGTGCGCGTGCGTGTGCGTGCGTGTGCGTGTGCGTGTCCCGTGTCAGTGTGCGTGTGTGGGTGTGTGCGTGTGCGTGTGTGTGTGTGCGTGTGTGCGTGCGCGTGCGCGTGCGCGTGTCCGTGTGCGGGTTGTGTTCGTGTGTATTTGAATTGTGTGTTGTGTGTCCGTGTGAGTGTGAATGCGTGTGGCTGTGCGTGGGTGGCGTGTGCGTGTGCGTAGCGGTGTGCGGGTGTCCCTTGTGCGCGGTGTGCGTGTTGCGTGTTCGTGTGTGGTTGTGTGTTGTGGGCCGTGTTCGTGTGCGTGCTTGTGGCATGTGCGCCGTGCGTGTGTGTGCGTGTGCGTGTGCAGTGGTGCGTGGTGCGTGTGCGTGTGGTGCGCGTTTGTGTTTTGATAATTGTGTGTTGTGTGCGTTGTGCGTGTGCGTGTGCTTGTGCGTGTGTCGTGTGCGTGTGCGTGTGCGGGTGTGCGGTTGTGCGTGTTTGCGTGTGTGCGTGTGCGTGTGCGTGTGCGTGTGCGCGTGTGTGTGTGTGTGTGTGTGTTGTGTGTGTGCGTGTGCGTGCGTGTGCGTGTGCCTGCGTGCCTGTGTGCCTGTGTGCCTGTGTGCCTGTGTGCGTGTGTGCGCGCGTGTGCATGAGCGTGTGCGTGTGCGTGTGCGTCTGTGCGCGTGCGTGTGTGTGTGCGTGCGCGTGCGCGTCTGCGTGTGCGTGTGTGTGTGCGTGTGCGTGCGTGTTTTGTGTTTGAATTGTGTGTTGTGTGTTGTGTGCGTGTGCGTGTGCGGTGTGCGTGTGCGTGTGCGTGTGCGTGTGTGCGTTGCGTGTGCGTGTGCGTGTGGGTGTGCGGTGGGTGTGTCCGTGTGCGCGTGTGTGCGTGTGCGTGCGCGTGTGCGTGAGTGTGTGTGTGTGTGTTGTGTGCATGTGTGGGCGTGTGCGTGTGCGTGTGCCTGTGTGCGTGTGCCTGTGTGCGTGTGCCTGTGTGCGTGTGCGTGTGCGTGTGTGTGTGTGTGCGTGTGTGTGCGTGTGTGTGCGTGTGCGCTTGTGCGTGTGTGTGTGGGTGTGCGTGTGCGTGTGCGTGCGCGTTTGCGTGTGTGTGTGTGTGTGTGCGCGTGTGCGCGTGTGCGTGTGTGTGTGTGGGTGTGCGTGTGCGTGTGCGTGCGTGTGCGTTTGCGTGTGCGTTTGCGGGGCCCGCCCTCTGGGGGCTTCCGGAGGCCGCCGCCGCCGCCGTCGATGCTGCGTGTTCGACCCTCTTCAGAATGCCTCAAAAGGCCTCGATGGGTGTTCGGAAATGCTCCGGCTCCGGATGTTATCAAACACGTGTTCGGAGGCCCTCGGAGGCGTCGCCGTCGCCGCCGAGGTCGTCGGCGTTGTCAGCGTCGACGTCGCCGCCGTCGCCGTCGTCGCAGTCGCAGCTTTCTCTGCTGCTTTTTACCGTGCTCGTCCTCGCACTGTGTCAAGGACAAGGAGGAGAGGGAGAAGCGGGATGAAGGAGGTCTGGTGGATGAAGGGGGCGGATGGAGGAAGGGGGCACAAATTTCTGACCACTTTTCTTTTCAGTATTATGTGTGTCTGCTGAAAGCATGTTCGCTTGGCTCTCGGTGAGCTTGCTGAGAGCTCTGCTCACTTTGAGGGAACAGTTGCTGTCGTCTTTAAGCTTGACTCGAGTGGCTGTGAGCTCCTCCTGCGCGCTGTGGCCATGAATTGCCCTCGTTACCATTTCTCTTTCCCCTCCAGGCCTCCTCGTCGTCCTGCTCCTGGTCGCCGTCCTCCTCATGCTCCCCCTCGGCGTCCTTGCAAAAGGCCTGGCGCGCAACATTGCGTATTCCTGCCCACGTGCCCACCCAGAGATCCCCCCTGGCAGCATGAGGTATGGCCCCACCAAGGGGGGCGAGGCGCTGAAGAGGCGACGGCCTGGCACCAGGTCCGTGGGAAAGAGCCGCCATCCAGCCTTCGGAGGCTACTCCTGGGAAGCTTCGTGGGAACGGTCAGGGGCCACTGAGCCAGACTAGCGGGTTTCTTGCCGACCTGGGCCACATCACGCCCAGGATGAGGCCTGGCTGAGCTGGAGCAAGCGGGACTAAGCGATATCGGGCCGCATTCGGACGGGACCAGGGACATGCCAGGGCCGATGCCGAATTTGACCTTCCGGGAGCTGCACCTGGCAAACTTTCTGGCGTAGCTGGTTTTGCTTGTGAACATCCAGAGGTGCGGGCATGTGCTCTCTAGCCTGCCCGTGCCAACCTCGGCAGACGTGCCGCAACATCAGTGAGGGGCAACGATAGGGGGGACCAGCTCAGGAGTGGAATTACCCAACTCGAATCGGCGACACCTGACCGATTGATTGGCGTTTAGCCCCCAATGGCGAGGCCGAACATTCCTCGGGCCTCATATCGGCGATCAATGGGCGCTAAGGGGTCGATGCGTCATGCATCCCCTTTGACTGTGAGCCTGTCCTCCCTTCCCCGTCGGTCGGAAGAAATAGGTAAAAGCATGAAGTAAGAAGTCGGAAATACAGTAGATTGGGCCCAGGCCGTCCCAGATAATCACGAAACACAGCATGAGCAAATCGATTATTGACAGTAGGAAAGCGCTCGAAGAAACTTGGGATCTGGGAATCCAGAAATACCCATGATACCGGAGAACAAAACCAATCATAATATGGTTAGTGCTGTAGGACTTTGGGGCTATAAGGTTATAGGACCTCAGGGCTAGGACTATAGGACTACAGGGCTGTAGGGCTATAGGAACATAGGGCTATAGGGCTACAAGGCAATGAGGCCATAGGGCTATAGGCCTATAATTGCTATAGGACTATAGGGCTGTAGGGCGATAGGGCATGATTAAGGACTATAGGGCTATAGGGCTATGGGGCCATTAGACCTATAGGGCTATAGGTCTATAGGTCTATAGGGATATAGGGCGATAGAGCTATAGGGCTACAGGGCGATAGAGCACCTGGGCACCCCGGGGCACCTCCGGGCACCCCTGGGCACCCCCGGGCACCCGGGCAACTCTGGGCACCCGTGCAGCGAAAATCGGCAGCAAACCTAACCTAACCATATGAATCCGCTAGGAACCCTACAGAGGCAAGGGGAACTTTCATCGACAGACGGGTACCGTTGTTGCCCATCAGTCAGCTCGGCGGACCCGCCCGCGGCACGCTCGCCGCCATGCCCCCAGCAGCAACGCCGCCGACCAGCCAGCACCTCCAGCAGTACGGGCGTCGACCGAGGCAGCAAAACCCGCCTGCGCGGCAGTGCGCCGTCGGCTGCTCGCGGGTGTGGGCGAGGCTCCGAGCACGCTCGCTGCCGTGTTGGAACAAGGAAGAGCGACAGCACCCAAACAAGCGCGAGGAGCCGATCAGGGTCCTGGTGGTGTCAAGTGCCCCCCCCCCGTCCCCGCTGGAGACATGCCTACCCCAAGCTCGGGGAGGCATCGTGCAGCTCCTCGCTGGAAGTGTCCCTCCCCTCATGGTGATGGTCTCGCCTCTGCTTCCTCCGAGCCATATCCTCGGCCGCAACACCGCTGAGCAGCCAACCCCTAGGGCAGGATGGCGTCGACCCGCGCGGTTCCGTGGCCACGCCCGCGTGTGCGAGGATGGGCCGTCAGCTCCTCGCAAGTGTCGGCGAGGGGAAGAATTTGGAAGCCCGACATGGGCACGGAAGACATGGGTGCGATGCTCAACAACAAGTGTTGTCCAACACCGACAGCGGCCGCTGTTGGGCAGGCGGCCTCCCGTCTCAAATGAACATCAACTGCCTCGACGCCGACAACGAATCCTGTCTAGAATGAACAAGAAACAACTGATGTTAGGCTCTGCACCCCTTGTTTCCGTACCCATTTCGGTCCCCCCGCAAGAAGGGCCGTCGACTGCTCGCAGATGCCGGTGGGGCTCCGAGCAAGCTCGCCACCGCGCCCCCGGCCGCAGCACCGCGGAGCAGACGGCCCGCGGCGGGCCTGCGTCGACGAGCGCGGCTCCACGGCAGAGCCCGCCTGCGCGAGGATGGGCCGCCTAGCTGCTGGTCGGGTGTCGGCGAGGCGAGGAACGGGCCATCAGCTTCACGTCGTAGATGTCGGTTGGGCTCCGAACGCGCTCGCAACGGTGTCCCCCGCCGCAGCACCGCTGAGCAGACGCCCCCCCGGCAGGACGGCATCGACGAGCGCGACTCCTGGAAGAAAGCGAAACATTCTGAGTATAAGCTTTCCGGGGTCCGCGCCAGTTTCTCGGATCACTGCTGGGCCCCCTGGCGGCGCCCTCGGCGCGGCCCTTGGCGCGCTCCGAGCGCCAGGCGGGGGGGGTCCAGCGCTTTCCCAGAAAGCCGCGCGCCTTTGGAAGTCGGTGCTCCATGCACATTGATCTTCGGAATCCGTAGCCAAACCCGCCTGCGCGAAGGTGGGCCGCCAGCTGTTCGTAGACGTCGGCGAGGCAAGCGGCGGGCCCCGCCGCGATGCGACAGCGCTCCACTCCGCCGAGGGTCACGAATCGTAGCGAACCGCCCTCGAGCGACGCCTCCAGGAGCAGTGATGGCGTCAAATGCGCGGTGTAGGTCACGTCTGCGGCCAACTCCGGAACGTCGCACTGGCCCACGTTGTTGCGGCCGAAAACCACGACCGAGCCGTCGCTCAGAAGCAGAACCGTGTGGCTACCTCCAGCGGCCACCTGCATGAACGTCAGACCCGCGGCCAATTCTGGGACGTCACACTGGCCGTAATTATTGCGGCCGAAAGCAACGACCGTGCCGTCGCTCAACAACAGAACCGTGTGCCCGCCTCCAGCGGCCACCTGCGTGCACGTCGGGCCCACAGCCAGCTCCGGAACGTCGCACTGGCCGTGGACATTAAGGCCGAATGCCGCAACCGTGCCCTCGCTCGTGAGAAGAACTGTGTGGCCATCTCCTGCGGCCACCTGCGTGAACGTCAGGCCCGCGGCTAACTCCGGGACGTCCAACTGGCCGTGGACATCGAGCCCGAAGGCAACAACCGTGCCGTCGCTCAATAGCAGAACCGTGTGGTGGCTACCTCCAGCGGCCACCTGCGTGCACGTCAGACCCGCGGCCAGCTCTGGGACGTCGCACTGGCCGTAGCTCTTGCGTCCAAAAGCCACGACCGTGCCCTCGCTCGTGAGGAGAACCGTGTGGTTACTTCCAGCGGAAACCTGCGTGCACGTCAGGCCCGCGGCCAACTCCGGGACGTCGCACTGGCCGTGGCCATTGCGGCCGAAAGCCACGACCGAGCCGTCGCTCAGAAGCAGAACCGTGTGGCTGCCTCCAGCGGCCACCTGCTGGCTACCTCCAGCGGCCACCTGCGTGCACGTCAAGCCAGAGGGCAGCTCCGGCACCTCAAACTGGCCCCCGCCTGGGAGAACCAAAAGACACCGATGCCGCCACTCCGCGGGCCTCTCCCAGGGCTGCGTTCTGACGAACACTTCGAGGCGAGTCCAGCCGCGACGACGAGGGATGGATAGCTGCATCGGTACCTTCTCCTCCACTGGCCGCCATCGTCGCCGAAGGCCACGACCTTGCCCTCGCTGGTGAGCAGAGCGGTGTGCTCGAGCCCAGCGCCTATGGGCCATCGGCCTGCCACCGTGGCACCCGTCCATCTGCGGAGCAGAGCGGCATCCATCGGCCGTCCGATTCGGCAGCGGCCCGACCCCTGGAATGGCTCGGGCCATGAACGCTCAAAGGGGGGAGGAGAGCGGGAATGAGGAGGAGGCGAAGGGGGAGAGGGGGGAGGAGGAAGAGGCAAGGGAAGACGAATGAGTACGCATGAGGGAAGGGAGCTGAGGCGCTAAAGGAGGAGAGGAAAGGAACAAGGAGGACTAGTTAGAGAAGAGAGGGCAGTAGTAAGAACGGCAAGGAGAGAGAGAGAGAGAGAGATGAACACACGAGTTATGCTTAAGACGACGGCAGGGGTGGAGGATATGGGAAAGGAGTAATACCGAGAGGCTCCGGACCCTCCAAAAACACAGAGCGGCGTGGTATGCCAAGGAGGCGGGAGAGGAGGATGATCGAGAGGCTCCAGACCTCTCAGCATCTTTTTTACAGGGAGGATACCTTCTCCAGACCTCACAACCCAATGAGGACCTGTATTGGGGTGGGGATTCTGGCTCGAGCTGCATTGGCGGGTTCGGGAGGGAATGGGCAAAAGATCCAGAAGCGTCGGAAATTGCTCGTCTGGGAAAGTTGAGACCCCCCCCTGAATCCGACCAGCGTGAGTGATTTAGAGCGTTTCCTATTCCAACCCACCTTCATCCCCTTCGGGGAGGGGTTACCCCTTCCACTACCCCCTCACCCCTGGTCTGGATGGGGGGGGCGCGAGGTGTCTGAGAGTCTTGTTGGGCAACATAACTGTTTTTGTTACTGGGGGGGGGGCTACTTGAGTACGGGTCGTCCTTTGATCGATCTCCTCCAAGTTGGCTCCCGAGGCTCTTAGGGGTGCCCCAAGGTGGCCCCAAGAGGTGCCCAGGAGGCCCCAAGAGGCCCCCAAGATGCCCCCAAGATGCTCCCAAGCGGCTCTGAAGAGACCCCCAAAAGGCCCCTGGAGGCCCCCAAAACGCCCTAAGAGGCCTCCGCGAGAAGGCGGACATTCATTATTGATGTGACCTAGGTTTTGGCAACATGTTGGCTTCCTGGGGGGGGGGTCCTGGGTAAGGAGCCCCCCTTTTTTTGATCGATCTCATCCAAGATGGCCCAAAGGTGGCCCCCGAGGCTCCCAATGATGCCCCAAGACGGCCTCGAGAGGTGCCCAGAAGACCCCAAGAGGCCCCCAAGAGGCTCCCAAGATGCCCTGGGGAACTCCCCAGGGGCACTCGAGGCGCCCCCCGGACTGCCAAGATATCCCCAAGACACCTCAAGAGGACCCCAAACTCTCGGAAGAATTCCCAAGAGACTTCGAGAGGCGTCCAAGAGGCGTCTGCTCGCCCTCATCCTCTTCCTCCTGGTCATCGTCCCTCCTCCTCCCTCCTCCCCCTGTCCCTCTCTTCTCCTCCTCCTCCTCCTCCTCCTCCTCATCCTGCTCCTCCGATGTCTCCTCCATCCTCACCCTCTCGGGGTACGACGTACGACGTCTCAATTAGCCCTTTAATGCGCCATGTATTCCACTGCGTGCTCGTCCGCGTCCCTGGTCAGGGCAATTCGACTGGGCATCGTTTCTGGTTGGGCGGGCGGGGTAACCCGAAACGCCTGAATTTATGCAATTCGACATCCACGACGCCGCTCCGCAAGAATCCCATCCACCCTCCTCCTCGTCCCCATCCTCCTTTTGGTTCTCCCTTGTCCGCCATCCAACCGCAGCCGTCAACACTGCCCCAGTGGGAAAGGGAAGAGGAAGATGGATGAGGACAAGGAGGACAAGGAGAGGATGATGACCAAGGATGAAACAACAGGGGCGGGGACATCTGATACTATATGATGAGGACGGCAGGAGCAAGAAGAGGGAAACAAGCGCGGGGCGAATGTGGGACAAAATTCGAGAGAGAGAGAGAGGACGAGGGAACAGGACAGGGGAATGGAGGGACGAAAGAAGAGGAGAAATAGAGGGGACGATATGAAAAAAAGAGGAGGGAGTCGGGTGGCGGGGGCAGCGGCCCTCCAAACCGCATCATTCCCTGCTTCCCCCCTGAACCGCGAAGTGCGTCGCGCCCAGAGCATCACGCCACCTGGTCATCCTCCCTCCTCCTCCTCCTCCTCCGTCCTCCTCCTCCGCCTCCTCTGAACCGAAAACAACATGGCACCATCCCATATACAGCCCCGCGGCTTTGTGATTTCAGGCGTCTGCCGCGTGCAATGTCGGCGTGTTATCGCGAAGACCACGCGGTAGCGTCTAGGGGCCACAGCGCCGCGCAGACGCCAAACGCCGCCCAGGCACCGTTCGCAGCGGCAGCGACGTGGGTTCCGCGCGCTGGCCACGCGAGTCCCAATCACAGAATATGCACCGCTCGCCTCGCACAACACCTGATGGTGCCATTCGGCGGCGCGCTGCCGCCACTCGTCTGGCCCTACCCTGTCACGTACGCAGCGCGCGAGCGACTGGCCTGCTTCAGAACGGCGTCGCCGAGCCCGGTCGCGCGGATGTTTGCGTCGCGCTCGCGGTGCTCGTCGTGATGGCCGGCGTCGTGGCGCCTGTCCACGCCGCGTTCCCATGTGGTCGATCGGGGGGGCGTCGCGCTACGCGTCGCCGCAGTGATCAGCGTTGTGACGATGGCTCTGGCCGTGGCGATCAGACTCGCGTTGCGGGCGTCCGTCGTTCGGATCCCTGGTGACTGTTGAAATCGGAATGTTGCGTTCGGTGTCGCTGCTCGGTGTCGGGCCGTTCGCGCCCGTCGCGTTGCTGCGTGTCGCGGTCACGGTGCCCGATGGGCCGCCCACTTTGCGCGGCCGCACACAGCCCATGGGAGCTAGCTGGGGCCAGCTGATCAGCACCGCGTCGCCGGTGCCCTCAACGGTGCCTTGTGACGGATATCCGCGGTGCCCGTCGCGCCGCCCGGCGTCGTACTTGGGGCGCGCATCGCGCTGCCCTCTGGCAGAGTCTGGCGCCCGTCGCGCGGGTCAGCGTCGCGCTGGTGGCACGCCATGCTCTTGCACGAGCAACCATGGTGCGAACCAACATCGCAACGGAAGAAAGGGAAGGGCAACAAACACTACTTCGCCGCGCGCGGGAGGTTCGACGTGACGTGGCGGACGGCCGAGCCGGCCTCCGGCCTTTCGTCGGCGTGGGCACGGGCTAGAAGTCGATACAGCACACGGCCTCTTAAACACCACCGCTCCCGGGGAGGCAGCGCGCTGGGCGCACCCGCGGGAACTGTAGGGGTCAGGGCACAGCCCGCTCGGACATGCCGCGCCCGAGCCGGGGCGGCCGGGCCCCGCCGGCCTCGTTAAGGCATGGGGGGGTGCCTAAGCGTGTACCTCTTGCCCGCCCTGCAATTTTACGTGGTATACGCTACGGCCCCCCAGTGGCCGCAGCGTACACCATTGTTTTGTGTGGTATCGATCGGGCTTCCTCGGTGTGCGAAGCGGCCTGCATTAATACCGTCGGCCCCGTTTGGGATCCCAGTGGCTTACAAAGGAAGGGCTACGGGGCCTGCGGAGATCTCCAGAAGCCAGGCGCGGGTTGCGCTGCCTTCCGCAGCGCTTTACCCTGCAGGCGGTCCGCGGAAGAGGGGCGAGGAGGATGGGGGAGGTGGGGGGAGGGACGAAGGACGGAGCAAAGAGGGACGAGGACGAGGAGGAGGAGGAGGAGGAGGAAAAGGGGGAGGAGGAGGAGGAGGAGGAGGAGGAGGAGGAGGAAGAGGAGGAGGAGGAGGGGGCACGAAGAGGGGAGGGAGCAGGAGGAATGCGAAAAGGGAAGGACAGAAGGGCGGGAGGACGGCGGAGGAGGCAGGAGGAGAGGGAAAAGGGAGGAAGACGGAAGGATGGGCAAGAGGAGGGAGGAGGAAGGAGGAGGGAGGAGGGAGAAGGCAGAAAGGGGGGGAGGAGGACTGACAGGAGGGAAGAGAGGACCAGGGGGGAGGGAGGACGGAGGGAGGGGGGAGGGAGGAGAGGGACGGGGGAAGAAGGAGGACAAATGCAAGGGGGAAGGGGGAGGAGGACGGAAGAAAACGGAGGAGACCAGATGAGGGAGGAGGGAGGAGGGAACAAGCAAGAGGAGGAGGAGGGAGAAGGAGGCATGAGGAAGGAAGACGAGGGAGGAACAGGGAGGTTGGGGGAGGTGGGGGCGAGGCGGAGGCAAGTGGACCGGGGAGAGGGAGGAGGGAGGGGGGAACGAGAGCACACGAGGAAGGAAGGGGAAGGAGGAAGAGGGAACTGTCAGGAGGAGGAGGAGGAGGACGACGACGACCAGCCACCTCCGAAACCACGCGACGCGTCGTAAGTTCGCGCCAGGTTCAAAAATATTAGAGCCTACATGGCTGACCCGCAAGGGTTCAGCAACTCACCATCCCAACACGAAGCAAACTCACCCCGTGCCCCACGTGACAAACAGGCCGTCAGGTCGGCGAGACAGCAACGCGAATGCCGCGTGACGACATCGCCCAGACAGCTGGCGAACTGACAGAACAAGGAACCACGTGGACAAAGACGCGGCCCGAGCCAGCACATTGAAGACACGACGAACTACGACTGCCAAGCACGTCGCCACCATGTCATCGTCGGCAAGGAAACACCACGTGAAGGACAGCGAGGCAAGGTCGCAAGGTCCAGCACGGCGGGCCGTAACTAGGTGGGGTGGTGCCGTGTGCTTTTTGGTCGATCCTCCTCCTCCTCCTCATCCTCCTCCTCTTCTTCCTCCTCCTCCTCCTCCTCCCTGCTGATCTCCGCTGCTCCCGGGGAGACCCCAAAAAGGGTTCTAAGATGGCGCCGCAGCCCCATATCGCGCGCGCGAGCGCGCTATGCAGACCGCGCGACGGAGACGAGACAAAAAGACACCCGCGACGACCAAGGGCGGCGGTGGCGGCGACGACGCGCCTGCCGCGGCTGCGCCCCTCCCCCCATGGGGCTCGCCTTCGTAGGGCGGTGATGCCCCCCCCCCGCCCAGGCGCGCGCCGCCTGCAGCACGGGCCCGAGAAGGAAAAGCACTCCCCAGTCCGCGGGGAGCAAAGCACCAGCAGTGGCACGCCGACGTGGGGAACCCATCAGCGAAGCCACTGGTGAGGGCACGCCGGGCCTTCGAGCAAAAACGCAGGAGCAGCACGCTGACGGGCTACCGATGGCAGCGCGTCAGCGATACAGTGGAGGCCCGACCACAAGAAACCTTCCACAAGAAACCCAACCCTGAGACCCCAGGACATCCCTTGATTCTTGGCGTGGGGACGCCGCCTTGTCCACAGCAAAGCCATCCAAACCAAAGAAACCCAGGGCACCCTTGAGATAAGCAGTGTCTTTCTTGGCACGGGCCCCCACTGTTCGGCGGTGGACAAACCTCCCTTTAGTAAACCTCCCCTCAGTGAAAACGACCTGGGACCGAAACCGACGGACCTGGACCCGCAAACATGACGGCCGCGACGCCCTCTCGCGAACCGAAACCGGCCAATTCGCGAATCGACGTGCCAGGGTAGGAGGCCTGTCCACCCCCGCACTGCACCCCTCCTCCCTCCCGAGGCTCACCCGCCCACCCCGCGGCTGCACCGCCGGAGTGACCCCCAGGCAACGAGCGGCCCCTCGGGCGCGGCTCGCCGGTCGCTGCACGCGCTGCGACAGCAGCTGCCCGCGTGCCTCGCTTGCCCCCCCCCCCTCCCTCGGCGGGCGGAAAGATACGGATACGTGTTGTCCCTGGACCTCTCTTGGGGTGCGTTCTGACCAGAATTTCGAGGCGAATCCAGCGGTGACAACGAGGATTCCCCAGGAGGACCAGGAAAGGCCGAAAACGAAGGGGGACAACACGTATCCGTATCTTTTTCTCCCCCGACTCCCCCCCCCCAGGCGTCCCCCAGAAGCTGCGAGCCAGCGGTCGCGCAAGCGACTGGCCACTCAGCCTTCGGGTCATACCTCGGGCCTCCGGCGGCCCCTCGCAGGGCGACTCGGGCCGCCCCCGACGCTTGCCCCGAAGGCCGCGAAGGGACCGAACCGACGGCGGAGTCGAAACCGACCGAAACTGACAGGCCGCAATCAGCCAGGGCGCCACAACTTTGGACGCCCGAAAGGGGTACTGAAAGAATGGGTACGATGCCCAACAGCGGTTCCTGTTCATTTTCAACAGGATTCGCTGTCCACGCCGCCGCGGCCTGTGTCCATTCGAGACAGGAGGCCGCCTGCCCAACAGCGGCGGCTGTTGGCTTGGGACAACATTTGTTGTTGGACATAGTGCCCATTCTTTCCGTGCCCATCTCGGGTGTCCAAAACAACGCGGGAACGACACAATGACCGAACACCCCGGCATCCCTACGACACCCTCGGCATCGCGTTGCCACACGCGGAGGCGTACCGTTTGCGGTCGCAGTGACTGGCCCCCAGGGGCCAGAGGGTGGAGAGCAGCTCGCACCGCAAGCTGCAGGGCCTCGTCCTCGTCCTCGCCCTCGAACTCGTCGTCGTCGTCAAAAACGCAACGACAAGGCAACGACACAAATGACGACACAAAGACACAGTGACCCACTCCCACCTCCGGGGGCCGCCATTGCCGCCCGCAGGGCCGTGCCGCCGCCCCCGGCGCGCGCGCGCCGCGGCGGCGCGGTGCCACCCCTCCCTCGCGGCAGGGGGGTGGCGGCGCCGCCGCCACGCAGGCCGAGGAGGGGGCTGTGGCTGCGCAGCCTGCGCCCGTCATCGACGTTCGTCGCTCGCCGTGGGTTCGGCCGCGTCCGCTGACCGTCGTTGGTCGTTTGTCATTCGTCGTCACCGCCGGCGCCGCTGTCGTCCTTCGTCGTCACCGCCGGCGCCGCTGCCCCCACCGCTGCCGTCGCTGTCGTCCTTCGTCGTCGCCCGCCATCGATGACGTTCTCGTCGTCACGAGCGTCAGCGAAGGGAACTGGCATGGGGGAGAAGGACGAAGGAGCACGAGAATGACGAGGCGAGAGGGAGAGAAGGCCAACTTGTTCTGTAATGCTGAGCCTTGGGAATGCCAGCAGCTACGGCCGCGTAAGCCCACGAGAGTGTTGGCGACGTGCAGGGACAGACGTACAGCCAAGTGGGCGTTTTCAGTACGGCGGTGGAAGGACGCAGTGCTGTAACAGTAAACACACAAGGCACGTTCCCCTACGAGCACGACGACAAATTGCTGGCCCTGACGCTGCGCCCGGGCAGAGCACGCTTACCTTGCGGCGCAGGGAGACCTCATCGCCACCGCTGGATTCGCCTCCAGGAAAGGTCGGGATAGGCGGGATGCCGACTCTGACGAATGGAATGGAAGAAGCGTCAGGTGCAAACGCACAGGCGGACGTCGACCATTCGCCTACGTACTCCGTACACCGGACCTAAGTAGCAGGGTCAGCCTTGAGCCCAGAAGTGGTGGGCACAAGGTTGGCGATCCCTGCAGGGAGGAGGAGGAGGAGGAGGAGGAGGAGGAGGAGGAGGAGGAGGAGGAGGAGGAGGAGGAGGAGAGGAGCGGGAAAGGAGGGAGGATGGATGGGATGGGGAATCGGAGAAGGTGTACAAGAGAGGTGGAAAGGGATGAGGGAGTCAGAGGAGCGGAAGGAGGAAGCAGGGCTCTGCAAGTATGAGGGGCGAATATGTCACCTTCGCAGCCGTCGCAGCCCCAACCCACTAAAGCAGGGCCCACCCGATGTGGGCCCCGACCTCCCCCAACCCCAGCCGCAGGAACAGATCTGCAGGCCAGGGAGATACTTATGAAACTAGATGAACAACCAACGATCGAAACATCAACGCTCGAAGGCCTGCGCGGATTTCTTGGGTCAGCGCTGGACCCCAATCCGCTGAAACTTTGATCGAAGCTCGAACCTTGATCAAAGGGTCGATCCTCGAACCTCGAACCGGTTGAAAACCACATAAGCTCTGAGTGTCCCCGCCGAGCCGATCAATCGACCCAAAAATAAATCACAGTCGCCGTGCTACCGTGCTAGCGTGCTACCATACTAAAATGACGACAGGGCTTTTGTCTGGCCACGTCGAATCTCGGTCACGAAAGCCATAGCCCCCGTATTTCGACGTGATGACTGTATGCGCTTGCCGTTGCTCGGCGCAGATCGCACGCAAGACCTCGTCCACGGCGCGGACTCCCTCGCGGCGGGCTGCCCGAGACTCCCCATGGCCCAAGGCGGCGGCCCTCCGGAGGGAGACTCCTCGGCAGAGGTCGCCAGCGCTCGTGTTTGCGATGCTCTCTTTTGGGGGGGAGGGGGGTTGGAGGGAAGGAGGGAAGGGAGGGGGGGCGGGAAGGGAAGGAGGGAAGGGAGGGGGGGAAGGAGGGAAGGGAGGGAGGGAAGGAGGGAAGGGAAGGAGGGAAGGGAAGGAGGGAAGGGAGGGAAGGAGGGAAGGGGGGGGGGGCGGGGCGCGCTGGACGCGCGGGCACGCGGGCGGGCGGCTCAGAGACGGGGGGGGGTGCCCGCGGGACGGGGCCCTCGAGGGCAGGGGAGCGGCCCCTCAGAGGTCGAGTCTGCACTGCCACGAGGCACCTCGCCCTCGGGGCCCCCGTCCCTCGTTTTGGACACCCGAAATGGGTACCGAAAGAATGGGTACAATGCCCAACAGCAAATGTTGTCCCAAACCAACAGCGGCCGCTGTTGGACAGGCGGCCTTTGGTCTCGAATGGACACAGGCCGCGGCGGCGCGGACAGCGAGTCCTGTTCAAAAGGAACAGAAACTGCTGTTGGGCATCGTGCCCATTCTTTCCGTGCCCATCTCGGGCGTCCATACTCGTGGGGCCCCCTCCTCAAAGCCCGCGGGAGGGGCAGGGCGGCGCACCATGGACTTGGCCATCATCTCCTGGCTGCGGGGCCGCACTGCCGGCGGGCAGAGAGGCGACGGGAGGGGCTGGGAGGATGCCTGGTCGGGGCATCCTCGAAGGCCCTCGTCACTCCTCCTTCAGCGCCGCCCTCGTCCCTGCTTCCTCCTCCTCCTCCGAGCCTCCTCTTCCTCCGCCCTCCTCCTGCCTCCTCCATTATTTTTCCTTCTAGAGGAGTCCTCCCTGTCGCACGCCAGGTCAATCGGAAGGGCGGGCTGGGCGTCTCGCCTAAAACTCCGTTGCAATCTATGCTATGAGCCTGAAGCTTAAGCACTCTCGCAGTTCCATGTATGGAGGGCGGGTCGATTCAAACATGCAACTCTCGCCTTCGCGCCGCGTACATTCGTTTCAAACATTTGCAAGAGTTCCACGGTTGAGGGCGGGTCGTTTGCAAAGTGTTGCTATCGCTTTGGCGCCGCGCGGATTCGTGCTCAACATTTGCAAGAGTTCCACGGATTCAGGACGGGTCGTTTTCAAAATGTGGCTCTCGCCTCAGCGCCGCGCGCATTCTTTCTCAACATGTGCAAGAGCTCTACGGATTGAGTCGGGTAGTTTTCAAAGTGTGACTCTCGTCTTAGTGCCGCGCACATTCTTTGCAACCAGTTGCAAGAGCTCCACGGATTGAGGGTGGCCCTTTTTTCGAAATGCGGCTCTCGCCTGAGCCTTGTTCACATTTGTTCTAAAGCATTGCAAGGGTTTTACTGGTTCTCAGGGTTGATGTACCCAGGAATGGTTGTGAACCAAGGTGCTGGTGAGCTTCCAGGCCAGCCCGCCCGAACAGGCGTGGATCCAGCAGCGGGCCCCAGCCCTCGATGGCGCTTCCGCCGACGGCTGGAACCCAGCAGTTGCACGAGATGTCACGGCGGCGGTGGTGGCGCAGTACGAGGCTCCCTACCGCGAGCCGCTCAGGGCGCAGGACCTGGCGGCGGCGTGGGCCGCACTCAGCATGTCAATGCGGACGTGGCTGGCGGCGCGGCAGGGGCGACTGGCGATGCCCGAGCGGCCGCACGCGGCTGCTGAGCAGCGCGCGGAGCGGGCCCCACCGGCCGCCGGCGGCGGCGGCGAGGCGGCAGATGCAACTGCAGACGCTACTTGATTGCTGAGGCTACGGCGCCTGCGCGGGCTGCGACACGCGATAGCACGCTTCAGCGTCGCGGCGCAGGGCGTGGCAAGGGAGACGCTCGCGGCGCTGCGGGCCGCGGACGCGGATGATGCCGCTTGGGAGCCGCGGTTGGCAGCGGTGCAGTTGGACGCCGCGCTCCTGGAGGCTCTGGTGCAGCTCGCGGAGGCTGACCGGGCCACGGCACGCGCTGCGGCGCGCGAGCGAAGGCAGCGCGAGTGGCGCCAGTGGGTCGATGAATGTTTGGCAACGCGCAGGGCCGCCTCTGCAAGTGGATCCGCGGCGGTGGCAGGCTGGACGCGGAGCTCGCGCCCGACCCTGCGGCCCATGCAGCTGCGCCGAGCTCCGCGCCAGGGCGGCGATCCTGGCTGCTTGCTCTACGCGGCGGGCCCGCCGCCAAGCTTCGATACTATGAGGGTCCCTGGAGGCAGCTCTGGCAGCGGCAGGCGGCCCCCCCCTTGAGCGAGGGCTGGCTCCAAGAGCTGGATGGCCTACCGCCGTTCCCGCCCGAGCAGCCGCGGACAGCGGATGACATCAGCTGGCTGCTCCGCCACATGCCCAAACGGAAGAAGCCGGGTCTCGACGGGAACGCCTCTTGCCCCAGGAGCTACTGGGCTGGGTAACACATTTCTTCGAGGCCGTGGAGCTCGTCGGCGAGTGCCCAGGCGAATTGGTCGAGCCCGAGGAGATCCTCCTGCCGAAGCCTGGCGGGGGCACGGGGGTCCTGAACAGGCAGCCCATCTGGCTGCTGCCAATACTCTATCGCCTGTGGGCAGCGGGGCGGGCCCGCGACTTCGCGCGCTGGCGGCTGAGCTGGGCTGAAACAAATGTTCAGCTGGGGGCCGCATGACTGGCTTGGGAACTTGCCTTCGGGTGGGAAGTAGCGGGGGCGATGTCCGAATCCATCGCTGGAGCCGCACTCGACTTGTGCAAGGCATACGACCAGATGAACTTGGCGTCGCTGCCGGGCTTGCTGCGTCGGGCGGGGCTGGAGACTGGCTCGTGAAGCTGGCGCAGAGCGCCTCCGCTCGCCGGCGGATTCGCGTCGGGCGCGCGATCGGCGTGCCGCGGTCGCCCACCTCCGGCCTCCTTCCAGGGTGCGCCCTAGCAGTGTTTTTCCTCGGCGTCCTGCGGGGGCCGTGGATGACAGGCTCCGCCGTCGCATGTACGTAGACGATTTCACGCTGCGGATGCGCGCCAGGGCCGAGGAGGCGGCCGAGGCTGTCCAGGGCGCCTTGGCCGTGACGCTGGAGCTCGAAACCACGATGGGCTGGGAGCTGAACCGAAGGAAAAGCCAGCAGTTCGCCAACGCAGGCGAGCTACGACGCTGGCTTGCCGAGCGTACTCCGGCGCTGGCAGCAGGCATTACCATCCAGGACCTTGGGGCGGCCGCCGTCGCAGGCGAGGCCAGGCGCAGCGCCGCGGCGGGGGGCCGGATGGCTGACGCGAGGGCCCACTTTGCCCGCATCGCCAGCGCGGCCGGCGCCATCGCGGCGGTGCACGGGCGGCAGAAAGGGCCGATCTCGGCGGCCTTGCGAAGCCTTGCGGGGCTCTGGCTTGGACGCGACGTCGAAAGCTGGGCAAGCGCCCCGGCCGCGCTGAGG